AAAAATATAAATTACTTTAATAAATAAATACTTACTTTCTGATTTATTATTGTAAACAATCTAAAATAAAACATAAAATTTATTTAAATAAATTAATACTTACTGTTTGATTTATCATTGGAAACAATCTAAAAACAAAAAATTAGAATAGGCAAAATTAGATGCTTTCATGTGATCGGTTTTTATCGAATCCGACAATTTCTGACTATTGGATCTCATCGAATCCTGTCGCCGGAATCCGACGATGTCTGACGTCGGAAATTAACGGATAATGAAGGTTTCCGACTGTCGGAAAGTGTTGGATAATCACGAATCCGATAGGATCTGGCAGGGTGAGTTCGACCTGGGTAATTATCTTGAATTTTATAAATTTATACAAAATCATTAAAATGTGTTTTTACTGATTTGATTTTTGTATTATTGAATTAATATGAATAATAATACGACAAAAGAAAATTGAAAAATTTCACATGATTCGATCGGTTTGAAATCAATGGCTCATTTTTGATTTACAGACAAAATATAATTGAGTATTGGAATATACTTTTAACAGGACTGTCTATTTTTTATAATATATTTGTAAATACAGAAGACAACACAGCAGAACGCTTTCAGCAAACTAGTAGAAGACACAATATTAAAATCACTAGGTGAATTTTTTTATAGAATTGCAAAAGTAAAAGGTCGAATGTACCCTTGGTTGAATAATTTTTATGACTTATTATGGGATGACCTCTAAAAGCAATAAATTGGAAGATATTTTATGTGTTAAATATGAAATTCGATAAACATATTTAGTATGAAAATAGATGAATAATTATTTTCAATTTAACTCTTAATATTTCACTAGTTTATTTATATTTATTGTGTTGTTAACTTATTTTTATCAAATTAGTAAAAGCTAATAAAATTAATGTCTGATGGATAATCATTAAAATTTACTTTGTTTCTCTATTTAATCTAAATAAAAAATTGAAACGATATTAACATATTATAATAACTAAATGAAATTAAGTATAAGGACTTTGTACTGTAAAATGACTCATGAAAAATAAATCACTGATGCTTTTAAAATGATTATTCATATATTTTTAGCCGTTTCTATTCTTCATACAATCATATTTATCAAAATATAATACTCAATAAGTCAGAATTAATTAACTTACAACATTTTCTTTTATCTTATTAAATGTACTCAATAAATTAAAGTTTACAGTTTTGAATCCATTATTTCATTTTCTATAATTATTTTAGCTGTACTTAAAAAAAATCAAACATTTCTTAATTATGTTTATACGTCTTGATGAAGTATCAAGTCACGATAGGAAAGAAAAAGAAAAAAATATTGAAGAAAAACAAACCTTAACGCAAGGACAGCGAAGTAGAAAAGTACGACAGTAGGACGCATACATAAGTATAGTTTTGTTCTCATTGACATTATTTAATTGCATGAAAAAAAACAAAACGTTCTAAGAGCGAATAATTATTAGCTTTTCATATATTTCTAAATTATATAAAAGCGTAGCAGTTAAGAATTTTATCCATTAAAATAGATCAAAATTTCAGAAATAAAATATTAAAAAAAAACAGAATTTAAAATTTTGTTAGTAAAAGAATATAAAAGAGTGATATTCTTTTCATTGCATTAGTGATACGTATGATCTTTAAATAATTTTCAGTATTAGTTATTTTTCTTTCAGCAATGGTCGTGGTTAATGCATCGAACTATCCTAATCAGGGTTGCCAGATCTTCTGAAATGGCAGGAAAGCTTCTGAATTTCAAAACTTTTTCTGATTTTATTCTGACCTTCTGATTTTTCTGATTTTTCAGATTTTTTTCGATTTTTCTGGTTTTACTGTTTCGCTGCGATATTTGTCCAAATTCTATTTCTGAATGAAGACTTTTCTCATATTGATTACGATCATAATCGTTAGCCATATGAAACATGTATGGTCTGATTATCGTAATTGCATGGACATAAAACTAGTTAGTGCTGAACTTAAGATAAGAATGAATGCTAATTATTCTTGTGAACAGTTCTAAAAACATATTTCAACTGATAAACATTTATTGCAGCAAATTCGAAAAATGAAAAATATCAATAGTATGGAACTCATATTGAATGAGTCGTTTTTTTAAATATCTCTTGATGTATATACTGTATTTCTCGGTTTGTTTTTGCTCATTTTATGTGAAAAACGTTTTGAGTTTAGTAAAAAGTCTGATACTAGATGTCTTTTGCTAGTTTATGTGATATTGGGTGAACTACATATTCTTATTATTATTGTTTTTTTATGTTAAATATCTTCGAAAATAAATGAAGAATAGATGAACAAATTACAACTAAAGCATTTTGTAATAGTTGGGTAAAATAATAAGTGCCAATTTCAACATATTAGCCTTTCTGATTATTTTCTGATTTTCGAAAAAAAATTCTGAATATTTTCTGATTTTGATAGTCGGAATTTCTGATTTTTAAATTTTTGATCTGGCAACCTTGATCCTAATACAGCGTACAGAGAGAGTAAACCAGCTGCTGGTATTATTGCTGCACTGGTTGGTGTCTCATTAATTGCATGGATCATTCAATCAAAGCAAATACATTTTAAACCACGTCGACCTCAAATTCTTGTTCTCATTTCTCATATTACCATTTTCATTCAACTCATATTACGTGCTGCTTTTACTAAGAGAACGATTGATTCGAAAGCTGCTTTTACTGTCTTATCAGTTCTACTTTCTATTAGTATACGTACAGTTATTTTATCAAATTACGATTTTCTAACACAAGTTCACAAACTCAAAATGTGGATGTCTCGAGCTATTATCATGGGATCAGTTCTTATTGGCATGATATCAGCAGTTCTCATGATTCCAGCCGGTGTATTATCAAGTGATCCTGATAAAATCAATACGAGCATTCAACTACGACAAGCATCATCGGCAATAGCTCTCAGTTTGACCGTACTCTTCTATCCAGTTTGGTTTCTAACAAAAACAATAAAATATATGACAAAATTTGCCATTATTCTTATGGTTGTTTCTAGTTTTGCTTGTTTGGTAGTTGGTATTTATATTATGATTACATCGGTTCCAGATTATTATATAAAATCAAATGAAAAAGAATATTGGGTGTATATTTTTCAAATCGTGCCTAACGTTATCGCACTATTTACATGGTCAATCTTGCATCCAAAACGAACTTTAAAACAAACAGAACCATTAAAAGAACCGGCAAAACAACAGGAAGAAAAAGATGAAGTCAAAACTGATGATGGCGATGTTGTGGAAATCATGCGACTCTAAATGACTAAATTCAAAGTTAATACAATCATAAAATAAACTTGAACATGATCATAACTTGTTATAAGATGTTTCTATGCGTTTTTTTTTGTAGACATATGTTAAGTAAAATTAAACTTTTACATAATATATATTACAGTTCAACATATACTTACTAATGAAAGAAAAAAAGCTATCAGTTACTGATTTACATTAATGTCAAAATTAAATAAGAGATCTATAGAAAAAAAAATGCTTTATCACAAAACAATATGTAAACAATAAAAATTCTTGCTATTTAAAGATACAATCAATCCTCATAGCATTAATCATAGTTTTTGATATTATCATCATGTACATATGCTACTTCCATCAGTTAGACAAGGCTCTTTAAAAAAACCATATTCAAACGTGTAAAATTTCTTTTTCTTTTTTCTAGATCTACATATACTTCTCTGAATGAGTTTTACTGTGTTCAACAGACATTCATTGTTTCTTATTATTTGAAACAAGTTCAAAGATTTTTAATTGAATTCATCTCTTGAAATCATTTTAACTGCAAAATTTTCAATTGATATAATTGAAAATTGAGTTCTC